CAAAGAAGTTTAATGTTACAGTTATCAAGAGACGAGACCGCGCCACAACAAACGAGGAAGCTAGAGGGGATTGTGTCCTCTCGTATGCATGTGGGAGCGTTTTGACGACAGGAAGTACACATTTTCTACTCCCCCGATAGAGATAGAGGTGCAGTAGGCTTGTGGTTTCGGCATTTTATGGCTAGAGCAATATATGCGAGACGCTGCCTACCTGCATTCGCGTTTGAAGTGTCCATAAACAATTTGTAAGTCAAATGCAAGTGTTGTTAAATATATATACTCTTTTTGGTTTGAAAATGTTTGGTTAAGTAGCTAGAATTCAATAATTTGCTGTTTGTAGTTTTAGATGTGTAGAAAGTTTTGTTGATTCAATGTTTGGTTTCTGCAGGTTAATCCTGAAGTGAGCTGCATGAAATGGATGTATGGGTGCAAAAGTTGATTCATTATTATTTTTGATTGTTTAATTGATTTGTAAAAAATGATTTGTAATGTTGATTTGTTAATTGATGTGTACATATTTGTGCTTGTTTAATTGATTGAAATGTAATAGTTGATTTGTTGATTTCATCTGCATTATGTTGAATGCAAAACAGACTATCGCAACGCGAAATGACTATCGCAACGAGAGAATCGCAATGCGAAATGAAAATCGCAACGAGTGATCGCAATGCGAAATGAAAATCGCAACGCGAAACTAATTTCGCGTTGCGATTTTCATTTTCGCATTGCGATTCACTCGTTGCAATTTCATTTCGCATTGCGATTCTCTCGTTGCGATAGTCATTTCCGCGTTGCGATAGTCAATTCCGCGTTGCGATAGTCATTTCCGTGTTGCGATAGTCATTTCCGTGTTGCGATCGTCATATTCGCGTTGCGATAGTCAAATGAATGTCTAATAAGTTATAACAACTGAACATATCATAGCAATGTTCAAACTCAAGTTACTAATACATGCCTAACTGAAAATGTTAAAAGTCACACATAAATACACATAATACAACGTTTGCATTTAAAAATCACCTAAGTTAACAGTCCCAAAAGGTGACGCCGTTGTGATTGGGATTTTGATGAGGATCCATATTTGGTAGAGGAAAGATGATTGTGATGCACTGGTGATCCACATGTCTCTTATTCTCTTCACCCTTAGACGGTATACGATCGTGACTTTTTGGTCGGCCAGGTAGCCTTCTGTCCATGGCTGGTGGCAAAACTGTTTGTAAGTCATCTGGTATGTCCCACTCAGAAGGATGTGGAATAGGGTAGACAATCTCGCCATAAGTCTGTCGATACTTCTGTAGTGTAGCAATCCATAGCGTATGCGCTTGAATCATCTTGGTTTAGATGAAGAAAACTTTTATAACATGGCCACGAATAACCAGATGTTTGCCATTTCATACAACTACACGTCTTTGCATTTAGATCGACAAGCCCATTTAAGTTATTATCCAGTACTTCAAACAAAGTGTTTGAACATGGTTCAACTCTCCATGACGTTGACTTCACAACACGTTTCGTTATCTTTTTTTCTGTCCATGGTGTAACACGATGTTCCAATGTTCCTGTAAATTTAAATAAATAACTTAAAAATATATAAGTTACGAATTTAAAGAAATAATACCTGCATAGTTTCTTTTCTTGTAGTACCACTGTTGAATAGAGGCTCGAAAAAACTCCATTAACATAGTAATGGGTAAGTTCCGGGAATGACGACTTAGAGCGTTGATTGATTCTGCACTATTAGACGTCATGAAACCATATCTTGCTCCAAGTTTGATGTACTCTGACCATCTTTCAAACCTGACATCTTCTAGTGTTTGAGCACACTGAAGCAAAACACGTCTTAAACAGTTTATATGCTTATTAAAATCCACTACCCGATAAGCTTTTACAGCCTTCTAGTATGTCCATTTGTGTTTTTTTATACCAGTAGACCTTGATTTTAGATTTCTATACAAATGAACACCACAAAGTCCATGAAAACATCTGGGAAACACCTTCTAACAGTGTTGTCAATTGAGTTTGCCCTATCGGATATGATTGTCAGATTGCTAATAGGACCTATGCAATCCCTAAGATGCCCCATAAACCATGTCCATGAATCAAGGTTTCAGATTTGCCAACCCCGTAAGCTATTGGCAGTATCCCATTGTTAGCATCCATGGCTACTGCTAATAAGTTTTACTCCAAGGTATCGACCTTTTAAATGTGCCCGTCAACTATAATAATTGGGCGCATGCAATTAATAAACGAACGAATCTACAATCATATACACAAGAAATATAATCTTTAAATGTGAAATGCATGTAACTAAAAAAAATGAGTCAACAAAATTATTGATTTACTAACCGCAGCACCAAACCGACCCAGGATTTTTCAGCTTTAAATTGTGACAATAAGCCGGCAGTTGGGCAAACGATGCTTCTCTGGCGACCCCCTCAACAATTCCAAGGCATAACATTTGGCTCTCCAAGCTTGAGAATATGAATACTAATCTTGAACCGAGCATTCATGTCAGTCATAATTTCATGTCCCCGATATACCCTACCATTCAAAAACATTAACTCAGCCAGAAACCACCCAACACCTTTTTGTTTGCCTGTCTATGGTGAGGAAAAACTTGGGTTCTTGAACATGTATGTTTATCAATAAAAGTCCTAACTTGAAACATTTCGCAATCTTTTATCCTCTTTGCAATCATACGCCACGTACAGCTTTGTCAATCATACATCTTGTTTCGAAACGATCTTTGCTTGATTTGTTAACTTTTAGTTGATAGCCATCTCCACACATTTCGTATACAAAGCTATCTTCAAGTCTTCCTTTGTATCAAAACAATCATCTTTCTTGATACGAATAATTTTTGTGTAACAATCAACTGTTATCTTTACCAACTCTTCTTCCGGTATCTGAGTAATTCTGGCATATTCCAGTTATACTCCCGTGGCATTTTTCGGGGACTTTCTTTCTTTGGGGATTTTCTTCTTCTTCTTTTTCTTCTTCAGTGTTATATGAATTACAGAATGGATGTTCAACATGTTCATTTACATTCGTAACTTCCTCCTCATTATCATCAACAACATCTTCCTCGGTAACTGCTTTTCATCATCAAAATTCGGGTATCGTCTAACTGATCAATACGAAAACCGGTAATTTGGTGCTGAAAGTTATTGGGATTTGGATTAGGGAAAGGTTGGGTTTTGAGATTGTGTTTGGTATTGAAAATGTTGTGAAACATATTTTCTTAGTGATGAATTGTGTGGAACCATTAAATTTTGAGCACCATAAACTGGGTTGAAAAACTTAGTTGATTACCCGCTACTGACCCAACTTCACTACTTCTAGGTTCACAACGTACAATGTAACATTATCACTTGAAACACTAATGTAAGCATGAATCGTTCAACATCTTCATTGTCCGTTAACAATAAACTTTACCATTTCTCTGATAAGATAGCCTAAATCCACTTAGGGGCTCTAAATTCAATTTATTTGCAACACGTAACATTAGAGTTTCATAATTAACTTTTTAAATGACAGTTTTAGTTGAAGATTCATGGTAAAGGCATATATTGTAAAACACCATGAACATTCTCCCATGACCCTCCAAAACAAAAATCTATCCAAACATGATCAACATTAGATGATTTCATTATTGTAAATTAATTTACTAAACAAACGAGCTGCGAAACTAAAACCTGTTGCCGGATGGGGAAGGATGTCGTTGGATATAGGAACAGATGTCGCCGGAGAGAGTGATAGATGGAGATGGAATGAGTTGCGATTTAGGGATTTAGGTTATGAGTTGTTGCTGCTGCGTAGTTATATACCCAAAGCATTTGTGTTGCGAAATTAAAACCTGTTGCGAATTCAGAAATCGAGTTGCGAATTTGAAATTCAGTATTGCGATAGTCAGAATCTCGTTGCGATTTACGTATTCGCATTGCGATTTACGTAATCGCATTGCGATTTACATATTCGCATTGCGATTTACGTATTCGCATTGCGATTTACGTATTCGCATTGCGATTTACGTAATCGTATTGCGATTTTCCAAATTCGTATTGCGATTTTCCAAATTCGCATTGCGATTTACGTATTCGCATTGCGAATTAGGAAAACCGCAACGCGAATTTGGGAAATCGCAATGCGATAGTCAGAATCGCATTGCGAATCTGAAAACTGATTTGCGATACCGGAGATCGCGTTGCGAATTATCGATCGCATTGCGATTTAGTTGGTCATTTTGGCAAATCCAAAAAAAGTTTATTAAAATCGTATATTATAAGGCATTTTTTGTCACTGAGGTTATTTTCTCTAATATAATTTTGTCATATCCCTATATATATAAAAATGGTTAAGATTTTCTTGTTAGCATTATAAGGATCATAATTTAATTTTTTGTACTATTTTTTTAATTTATATTTAAAATTGAGTTTTATATAAATAGAATTGAATTAAATAAAAAGTTATATTAATAAAATTGATTAAGTTTACTAACAATATAAGAAAATTTTAAGTTGGAACAAAGAATTTAAGAATTTATATATTTGAAAAGTTTTCCAAACCAAATTAAAATAAATTAGATACTTTTATATGATAAACTTGATTACATAATTGAAATTATTATTTTAAAAAAATATTGTTTTTATAATTTAACCTTTTTAGAAGATCTTATAGTACTTTTAGAATGTGTATAGTTTTTTTGTTTGTTTTTAATTTTTAAGGTTTCTTTTTGTTTTTTTTTTTGGATCGAAAAAGACTAATTTGCACATTTTTTTTAACTGACAAAAATAGAGGGGAAAAACCGATGCTGATCGCTGTATCCTTCTCTCGCTATCACAGAGACAAATAAAAAAAACACACCCAATAGGAGGAGGGAGAAGAAGAGAGGTTTTGATTCATTTCAATTGCTCTGTCTTATAAAGGCGGTGCATCGCTTCGCAGTTCCGGTTTAGAAAACAAAGAGAAGGCCGTTTCTTGTTTTGTTTGTTCTATTAGGAGGGAAAGGAAATGATGCATCGACGGAGGCGGAGGGCGGCGGCGGTTGTGCTGCTACAGAAAATACTAATGTGCGCCATATGCACCATAGCATTGGTGGGACTGCTTTCTGGATACGGACATGTGTTCCCTTGTTCCCGTGTTTCTGATTTATCTGATACTTATAAGCTCCCTACCGTCACTCAAGTCTCTCTCTCTAATATCGTGTTCTTCAATTGCCTGCTTGATATTTACTTGTTTTTCCATTTGCGGAAATGTGACATCATTTTTTGGTTATAAAATGTGAAATTTAATTATCGTTTCTTTGTTTTTTGAATTTTTTTTGTAGAAACATGAATTTAATTACCAGAAGTTAAGTGAGAAAAGGTGGATGAAGGAGGAGGCTCCGCCTCATTTATCGAAACTGCAATCTCCGCCGCATCTCTTCAAGACTCCTATTTCATTTCACAAGGTTTTTGTGTTTTTTCTAAATTGTTTCAATAATCTGTTTGGTTGCTGAGAAAATTAACATTAAGAAACCCTCCAAAAATGAATGAAAAGAAATTCTAGTTATTCTTGGATTATATTCCTTCACATTGTACCCTGTTTGTTTTCTATAAGCCATTTTATTAGAACTTGATTGGGTATTGTAAAATTCCTTTCGGGATGGTATTTAATTTGTTTATTATCTATTTTACTTGCTAGCTTGTTGTTGGTTTAAGTCTAGTATATACCCCTATCTATGTTACTCGAACTTGGATATGAGTGTCGGAATAAGTATGTTTCCAACAAGGGTATGGTCAGATTTTTTTCTTCTTCTAATTTTTCATGTATTTGGAGAATCTTGAAGGTTGTATCCCTATATATATGTGTCGGACATGAGTGTATGGTTCTTCAACAAAAATGAAGTCGGGGCAACATAGACCTTTATTGATGCAAGGTAGTTATTCGTCTTTCATGTTTTTCACTCTTTTTGATTTGACAGTTTGACGGTGCCAGTGGAAATCTGAATTTTGAGAAGTTTGGAAGCCGCCTGAAGATCGTGATTTTGTGCCCTGCATACAGCCTAGTTCCAATTATACAGGTAAAAGTTAACTTTGAAAATTTTCTTTCAAGGTATCGACATGAGACTTGTAAACTGATTCTTCAATTTGTTATTTTATGTTTAGCTCCTGATCAGTCAGAGGTTATATTCTAGTTCGTACAAATGGTGGGCTCAACCAAATGCGGACCGGGTATATATGTTCTATCTCTTTTCAAGGTTGATTTCTAGTTTGATAAAATTCATTCATTCTGGAAATATGATATATCTGTTAATGTGACATATTCCTTCATCGGTGATGTTCCCTGATAGAGATGCAGACGTCAAGATATCCATTCTCAACAGATGAAAACATTACCATCCACACACTATTCATACATCTCCTATAGGAGACACTAAAAGATTAAAACGTTACATTTGTTCAAGTTCAATGACTGAAATATTGGCAATCGCCATTGTACTAAGTACTTAAATAGGGATATCAGTTCTTCCTGATCATTTTGCTGACTGGAGTTCCATTCTTGAGTTGCTGATATGTGACATGGTAGCTATAGCCCGTATAATAATGCCACACTTGTATTCCAGAACTTGATAAACGATCATTTTGTCAAGTTACTAGGTAGCCTTTGCTTTTAAGTCATTGCTTGGCAAAATGTAGTACGCCTTTCTACTTTCTATTTCTGGCCGCTTTCCTTGTTCTTAATATTATTTTTTGCGTCTTTGTTGACTTGCAGCAATTTCTCTGATGTTTTTAGTGAGGACCATTCATTAATGCTTTGGCAAATGATGTTAAATCTAAAGAAACTTCCAAAGGAATTGTCTTTTGCTACCAAAGTTAAGCATTTTAAAAGCGGGTCTGGTTTGGAGTACTACCGCGATACGATAGGTATTAGGTTTGTTTGTTGATATCTTTATTGTGATTAATTGGTTATTGATAAGTGATTTATTTAGTTATTATTTTGCTTTTGAATTGATCCGTAATCATTGATTTTTGTGATTTATTTGTTCGTTTTGATTCAGTTTCTGTGCAGGACGCTAGATTCTGAAAATTGCATTAAAGTGACAGAATTTTGCAGTTTTTTTTATTTTCGGAATCAAAGCTGGATTAGTGGGCATGACTTTGGACATGAACCATCTGACGAGGCGATGACATCAACATATTCTAGAAGGTTCAATCAGCGCTTATAGAAGAACGAATGAACCAACCACTCGTTTCTGCAATTCTAATTTAAATTAAACTCATGTTTTATGATATTATTTTAAATATTATATTTTATCTTATCTTTGTTTTAGGTATTTTAGTTTAAATAGTTTTAAGTATTTTAATTATGATTTATTTTCTTTATTTTAGGATTATCTTTACCTCGTTTTTAGGATTTGAAGGCTATAAATACCCTCTCAGGGTAAGCCTAGAAACATATATATCAACAACTGAGAATTTACTCTTCTTATTCTCTCTAGCTTTATTAAATTCTCTCTTTTATTTCCTTTCAAGTTTTCGATTTTTTTTTAATTTTAAAGTTTGGTTTTCGAATATGTTAAGTATGACTTTGGTCATGCTTAGTTAATTTTTTGTCATGCTTAGCTAATTTTCTTTTAAGCCGAAGTCTAAAGCGAAGACTCAATTCCAAACGTGAGAATTGTAAGGCACTTAAATCGCTTCGGATTTTTCTCTATGTTTTCTGGGCTTATTTTCAAATCAAAACGATTTTCAAAACCAAAAGCCGGCGTTGGTCTGAATGTTATTATGGTTAACTTGGGATGAAGGACATGCTTATTGAAACACATTCAACTTCCTGTGAACACACTTAGTAAAATTGTTTGCTAAGAGGAAGTTGAGATCAGAATCAGTTATTGTTGAAACAACATAATCCAAGTCGACAACTTTTCAAACTTCAATGTTTTAAAGATCTACAACATTGTTGTTGCTTAGATCAACTCACAAACCGAAATTTAAGAGTGCACTTGGACATTCAATATACAAAGCATAGTCACAAGGAGTTGTCCTTGTAGACAATTAGCCGACGTGAATCTTGAAGTAAAAATTTATTTCGATGATCCGAAGAATTTAAGGCAAAGCTAAAGCCTAAGGCTGTAAGTGTTATTTATCTCAATTTATTTTATTATTATTTGTTTATTTAATCTTTTCTCATTTTATTTCTTTAAACAATTTAAAAACTCCCCTTTTTTATATTATCTTTATCATTATCTTATAATTATTATTTATTATTTTATTATTTTATTCTTATCTTCCATTTGAAACGATTTATATTTAATTATTTATTTTATTATTTTATTCTTATCTTTTTATCTTTATATGAAATTCTATCTTCTTCTAAATCAAAAAGTCCACTAAATCAGAAACACCAGAGTCTCTGTAGATCGACCTTGCTTCTTTATTCTACTCTCATTTTTTACTTATTAAGAATTCGTAATTATTTTGATAGCAAAATGACAGTTATTAAATTGGCGTCGTTGTCGGGGACTCACGGAAAGTACTGATTTATTTTTCTTCGTTTTTGATTTATGACCAAAATAAACCCGGGTGAATTAGTAGATCTTGACTCGGAGATCGAAGTACGAGCACGAAGAATCCACACACAAACGCTTCGAGAAAAAAAGAAAGAAACGAGAAGAGCATAGTTCAGAAATGGAATCAAATCCAAAAACAAACTCTGAAACATACGCATATAACGAAGATCAAATACAGATGGTGGAAGTAAAAGAACAAACGATCCGAGAGCTAGCCGCAGCTCCTATTACTCAGACGCCATTATGCATCACTTTTTCTAATGACGGGACTCCATTTCAATTAAAGACGGGACTTATTCATCTTCTTCCAACTTTCCACGGCTTTCCCACTAAAGATCCACAATAACACTTGTTGGTGTTCCACGTGGTTTGCACTAGCATGAAACCACAGGGAGTTACCGAAGATCAAATTAAATTGAGGGCTTTCCCTTTCTCTTTAACCAACTTGGATAAATATTAATTATTTTATTTTCCTCCGAATTCAGTTAATTCATAGGCTGACATGAGTCAAATTTTCTTGACAGGTTCTTCCCAACGGCTAAAGCAAGCGAGTTACGAAGGAGCATTCTTTCCATTCGGCAAAAGACCGAAGAAAGTCTTTATGACTATTGGGAACGATCTAAAAAGCTTTTCGCACATTGTCCACAACACGGATTAAGTGAGAAAACGTTACTTCAATATTTTTATGAAGTACTTTTACCAATGGAAATGAAAATGGTAGATGCTGCCAGTGGAGGAGCATTAGTCAACATGACCCCAACAACAGCGAGAGAATTGATTTCAACCATGGCAGCCAACTCTCAACAGTTTTCAAGTGAACTCAGCCGACGGGTTCACGAGATAAGTACATTTTCCCTTGAAAATAAGTTAGATAAATTAATTAAAGTAGTTAATTCCCTTGTTGCAGGAAAATCGAGGGTAACAAGAGCATGTGGGATATGCAGGAAGCTAGACCATCCAACAGACTACTTCATGATGATACAAGAAGGAGGCAATGCAAAAATCAATGTCGTAGGAAACTTTCCAGGTCCTCCACCAAGACCATACAACCCATATAACAATACTTATAATCTGGGATGGTGAGACCACACAAATTTCAGCTATGCAACTGATCAAATGCTAGCTTATCAACCAAGACCTCCTCCTCAGCAGCAAACGCAAAAGCCATTATAAAAGGAAATATAGGAAAAATTAGCAATTTCACAAGAAAATCTGGTTACAACCTATGAAAAATTGGTTGCATACCAAGAAAAGCTGGTTGCATCCCATGAAAAATTCCAAAGCCGAACCGAGACACATTTTCATGAGTTGTATAACCAAGTGAGCCGACTAGCTCAATCTGTGGGGAAATTGGAATCACAAGGAAGACTACATTCTCAAATGTAGTTAAATCCGAGAGAGAAGGTTAGTTTCATCACACTCCGAAGTGGAACAGTCATCTCACGTTATGTTCCAAAAGAAAAAGCCTCACATCAGGAAGAACAAAAAGAAACGCTACCTCTAGAAATAAAAGGTACATTTGACGCACATTCTCTTTCTCATAAAATCGCACCACCTTTCTCATCAAGATTGTTAAAGTGTGATAAAAGATCTGAAGAAAGGGAGATCTTAGAGGTGTTTCAAAAGTTCAAGTTAACATACCTCTTCTTGAAGTATTCGACAAGTACCGAGGTATGCTCGATTTTTAAAGGAGCTTTGCATTATAAAAAGAAAATTAATAGGCCACGAAAAGGTAAATTTGGGAGAACATGTTTCTGCAATTTTTCAACGAAATCTCCCACCAAAGATGAAGGATCAAAGTATGTTCGCCATACCTTGTAAAATAGGTAATTTTAAAATTAAACGTGCAATGTGTGACTTAGGGGCTTCAATCAACGTTATGCCATTTTCTATTTATAAAATCATTACTAACGAGCCTTTGAAGGAAACGAGAGTTACCATATAGTTGGTTGATCGGTCCGTAATCTATCCAGTAGGAATGATGGAAAATGTCTTAGCAAAGGTCGATATATTATTTTTTTTCTGTAGATTTCTATGTCATTGACATGGAACATGATAGGTCGGATTCTTATTCCGAAGTACTCTTAGGCCGACCCTTCCTGAGCACCGTACATACAAAGATCGATGTTAGAAGTGGTATACTGTCAATGGAATTTGATGGTGAGATCGTTGAATTTGATGTTTACAAAGCAATGAAATACCCGGATCGAGTTGAAAGAATTAATTCTATTGATCTTTTAGATCCTTTAATTGATGAATATATTAAATCTAATTTTTCTTATAATCTTTCTAGGGATCTTGAACTTTTCCACAAAGAGGAAAAAAGGGAGTTTGAAAATATTTATTCAATCAATTTTGATTTATTTTTACCTTCCTCTAAAACTAAAATTTTACTTTCTGTTTTGCAGGCACCTGAGGTAGAATTAAAGAAGTTACCAGAACATTTAAAATATGCCTTTTTAGGTAAAAATGGAACCTTACCAGTGATCATCTCGAATATATTATCCGAAGAAGAAGAGGAAGCTTTGGTCACGGTGTTGTGTTCTTACAAAGAAGCCCTAGGATGAACCATTTCCGACATTAAAGGATTAAGTCCCTCGACTTGCATGCACAAGATCAAATCGAAGAAGGAGCAAAGCCATCAAGAGAAGGATAACACCGATTAAATCCATCGATGATGAATATAGTAAAGAAGGAAATTCATAAACTCCTTGATGCAGACGTAATCTATCCAATATCATATAGTAATTGGGTAATTCTGATTCATGTTGTTCCCAAGAAAACGGGAGTCACAGTGGTCGAAAATCAAGAAGGGGAGTTAGTGCCAACAAGAGTTTAAAATGGATGGCGAGTTTGTATTGATTACAGGAAGTTGAACTCTCTTACTTGAAAATATCATTTTCATCTTCCCTTTATAGACCAAATGATTGAAATAATAGATGGGAAAACTCATTATTGTATAATTTTCTCCTCTCTTGAGGACAAATTCAATAAAACTTCAAATAAATTTCATCTTGACATCCATCATAATATCAAAGATTAGGCATCCATAAATACATCATTTTGATATCTCAGGAAATCAAAGCTCAGAAATGACCAGATGTCTCTAACTTGAAGAAGCAATGATTTGGCTTCCTGAATTCAACAATCAATACATTTCCTCAACATGCAGGAACAAACAGACTTTTTATCACCTTTGAGGGTGTTTTTCTTGAAACAAAATTTTATCTCGCTTAAGACATTTTTCCATAAATTTTGAGAATTTTAAAACTAATTTTGTCTCGCTTGAGACAATTTCTTTCAAAACAAATTTCGTCTCACTTGAGACATTTTTCCTTTGAGATACAAAATTTGAATTTGTTTCACATTAAACAAAGTTGATCTCATTTGAGATCGTTTTCTCTTAAAACAAACTTCGTCTTGCTTGAGACATTTTTTCTTTTGATATACAAATTTTGAATTTGATTCACTTGAAACAAAATTAATATCACTTGAGATTGTTATTTTTTTAAAA